CGGCGCCAGGGCCCTGCTCCGCCCGCGCCCTCGGCGGGGAGCCCGGGGTCGGGCCGCGGGGAGGCGGGGGCCCAGCAGAGCAGCTCGTATGGACTCGGGGGCGCGCTCAACCAACGGTCCCGCCGGCTCTGCCGGCGCCAGGGCCCTGCTCCGCCCGCGCCCTCGGCGGGGAGCCCGGGGTCGGGCCGCGGGGAGGCGGGGGCCCAGCAGAGCAGCTCGTATGGACTCGGGGGCGCGCTCAACCAACTTTCTTTCTTTAATTGATTTTTTTTTCTTTTCATTCCCTGCCCCCGCGAGCGGCTGGCGCAGTTCTGATGCAAAGCCATCGCCCGGGGGGCCGGCCCGCCCTCCCCAGGCTGGACCCGCAGCGGCGCTGGCTGCCCTACCCACGGCCTCCCAAGCGCCAGCTGCGGGCTCACCCGGAGCTGCCCCCGCACACACAGCCTGGACACGGCGTCCCTGTGCGGCTCACAATGGCCAGAGAATCCATGTTTGAGTAAATGCAGCACTGAGTTGTGTAAATATGTTTTAGTTCTCCCAAAACCACACAAAATCGGTTCTGTTAAACATTCATTTCATTAAGACTGCTATTAACTGTAGCGATTAAATTTATTTCCTGCCAATCCATATTTCATAGGCACTTATGAAATGCTGAGGGTTTTTTTCCCTCTCTCCTTTTTAAATACCTTTTGGAACTGTTAGTACTCTAAACATAAACGATTTCCAGTCGCAAATTGGAAATCTCTGAACCATAATGATCTGTTTAGTTGGCTGCCTTTGTAAAACCAGCATTCTCGCGGAAAAACAAAACAAAACAACCCCAAAAAACAGAAACAAAAAGGAAGGGGGCAAAAAAGCCCAAAAACCCTTTATGAAATTTATGTTTAGAAAACTGGCCGCATGTATCGTAGCTGTTTTTTAAACCTCAGTGCCTATGTCACATTTTCCATTCCAAATATTAGGAGTGATGTAACTGTTTTAAAAGGATATACTCTACTTTCTATTGCAAGCTTTAGGGAATTTTAACACAAAGGAAAATAGCTCTGCAACATAAAAGAATCTTGCAGTGCCTGATACACAGCGGCACCAAGGAATGGGAGAGACTATTGGCAGTTGTTGATGACCAGAATTGGTTTTGTTGAGAAGCATGCAGAATGGAAAGGGGTTATGTATGGCAACCAATACATCAACAAAAGGATTTTTGCATTCTTTAGAAGAAGTTTGCCTTTGATAGAAAGCTGTTTTTCACAATGCTTGCTAGGAGAATATTTTAGAGTTCATACTCCATCTAGCAGAGCTCTGTTTATAATATCCCTTGAAATAAGCAAGCTGGCTTGTTCCTGATTTAGCTCATTTGTGATCCTGTTGGTTATGTTGTAAGTGTTCTTACCTTAATAACGCTAAAGAAAAATTACAAAAATGAAATTGAGTGTGAAGGAACTCCTTTTGAAGAAATAAATTCTTATTTTTAAAAAGTGGAAGTTTTCTGCCCTGCTTTTACCTACAAAACCTGGATCAACCTAGGAAAGATTATGGTGAGTTGCAGAGCTGCTGAAGTTCTCCACCTGCCCTGGATCCAGAGATATTCAGGCAATCTGACTTCTGGCACTTCCTGAACTCTTTGCGTACCAATCTTCAGTACATTAATTTTTAGAGGCTGGTCCTCCCACATGGTTTGGAGCCTGCAGTAGCTGAAATGCCCATGTTAGCAGCCTCCTGCTCTGTTCATGAAAGAGCCAGGGCTCTCATGTCAGTTGCTTGTAGATTGCAATACAAGCAGTTTGTAATTGCAATGTCACTTGCTTGTAGATTGGTGCAATATGTGTCCCTCTGTATGCGTGTGTTTGTAATTTTCTTGAGTGTGGTGCATCTCACTGAAGAGTATCAACCAGTGAGCTTTACTCCTGTTTTCAGAGTCAGGGGACTCAGATTGTGATGATATAAGGGAAATAATTAGAGCTTGCTTGCTCTTGTGGCTCTGATCTGATGTGCCCTACTTGCACAGTCCTTGCTGGAATCATTCTTGAATGGAGCTGGAATTGCTGTTGTTCAGTCACATTTGGCAGAGCTTTCTGCATTTAAATGTATGTCTAAAGCTCTTGCTGAAAGTGGAGCCAGGACTTTCTCTTTCCAGAGGACCTTTGCTTCTTGCCAAGTGTGCAGATCTAAGGCCTGTCAGGTATCTTCCACAGAAGCAGGGAAGATGGAGTTGATACTGTGTTGCCCTTTCCTTAAGGAAATCCAGTGCAGTGTACTAACGCTACAGAAATACTGACCAACAGAAATCTTGTGGGTGTCTATCCAACTCCCAACATTGGCTGAGGTGATATTGCAGGACAAGGTCGGGACTGCAGAGTGTATTTGGTCTTGAAGTGTCTCATAAGTGCAAGAGAGAATATTACATTCAAAACAATAAAAGCAGTAGAATCATAGTGATGATGGTCCCCATGGCTTTTTGAGTGGGATGAGCTTCTGTAGTGTGATCCAGAATGAGGAAGTCTGCCTTAGGTCAGTGGTAGTGGAAGTGGCATATTGAAACCTTGTGACACTAGGAGTGATAAACTTGGGAAGTCAAAATCCCAGGTGATGATTTTTCAGTTGTGCATTGTTTGCACTGCAGTGTTTTCAAGGCAGTTTTTGTCACTGGGTTTTCCAAAGTATTCCAATGATTTTATACTTGTAGTTCCCTGATCAGGTTCAATGTGTTTGGTTTTGAAGAAGCTTTGTTCTCAAACAAGCTATGTGAGGTGGAGTGGTGTGGGCAGTGCTACTCTCTCAAATATGACCTAAAGACCAACTGTTTCCTACTGG